TCTTTATGAATAACGGTCGGATAAGAAAGTTATTTCAAACTGATTAATCGTCAAAGTCACTTAAGGCCAAATATGCGTTAATCATGTATGATATTAAGATTGATACCTAATGCCTGTAGGCTGTTGACATAAAAACACATCTTTCATTCCCAAACTCAATTTAATGCATCACTTAACACTCACATTGATTTGAAGTATATTAAAGTAACCTCAGTTAAACTGGTATTAGTGTGGCTCTGAATGCACGGCATTTAACATTCAGATTTTAAGAAGATATCGTTTTGCAGTATTTCAATTTTAGAACATTCTCTTTCCTTATATAACAGCACACAGATTACCGAGCATTGTGAATACTTTTCTTTTGTATTTCCATGTTAATGAGATGTAATATGTCCTCTCTAAAGTTTAAAAACAACCTCTGGACCGGGTGCTTTGTGAGGGGAACCGCTGAAGCTTGATACTATGGGACAGCTGCTGGGTGTCCCTGCTGAGAGGGAGCCTATTTTAACAAGCAGACCTATTGTCTTTTCCCAAGAATGACCAGAGAATGTGGCAACTACTGTGTGTGTGTGTGTGTGTGTGTGTGTGTGTGTTTGTTTGAGTGTGGTGTGGTGTGGGTGTGTGTGTGTGTGCGTGTGTGTGGTGTGTGTGTGTGTGTGTGTGTGTGTGTGTGTGTGTGTGGTGTGTGCATGTGTGTTTGTTTTAGTGTGTGTGTGTGTGTGTGTGTGTGTGTGTGAGTGTTTGTTTGAGTGTGTGTGTGTGTGTGTGTGTGTGGGTGGTGTGTGTGTGTGTGTGTGTGTGTGCATGTGTGTTTGTTTGCGTGTGTGTGTGTGTGTGTGTGTGTGTGTGCGCGTGTGTGTGTTTTATTGGGGTTAGGGGTGGGACGTGGCAGTGTCCTCGTCATTCGCATCATGCCATCAGAGCTAATTACCTGCCTGCAAGGACCAATTAAGACGCCCTCTAATGCTCCCTAACAAGATTCCCTCTAGAAGTTTTTTGTGGTCAAATGAATTCACAATAATGGTATTATAGTAATATATATAAAAATAGCTGAACCACTCTTATTTAACTTTGTTTATGTGCATTTTGTCTAATTTTTAGCAAATTAATTTTCATCAAAATACAAGTGTAAGGCGGTGGAGTTGGGGTCTTGAAACGAACAAATACACTTATGCATATAGTGACCTTTAAGAATTGCCGGAAATCCAGAACAACATACTTTTAGAAACAGGAGAAAAATGACAAATCTTTTTTACATTTACAAAAAAAAGAGAGAGTGAAATCAATCAATCTTTCTTTCAATTTCATTTAAACAGTTTTATTAGATTGAATCCATCTCAAACATATTGCTTTTCTCTTTGTCTGTATGACACTGAAAAGCCTTTGATCACAAGGTTGTGTGCTTAATGGCAATACATCTGTTATTTTTCACTGTGAATCAACGGTATAAATCTTGTCAAATCACATTTTGCGAACAAGCATATTTGATGTATTGGAGTTTATTTGAATAAACAGTATCCCTCCACTAACTCCAGAGCACCATGGGACTAAGCAGTTGTTTTCTCATTCCCAGACCTCTTAGTGAAGTGTACAGTAATGCCTTCAAGAATAAATCCATTGTGTTTTGGCTTCAATACAGCCCTTTCCTCTGGAGCTGCTGTCAGACCCAACACTTTGTTTAAACTGCGCTGCCTTTATCTTTTCTTACTGTATGAGTGAAGCTGTCGCAGCTGGACTCCCGCAGCACTGAGATATTTATGATAAGACGTGGCCGAGTTGTTCAATGAACAAACATGGCCACCAAGGCCAGAGGAAGGGAAGGACAATGGAGGAGAATTACTGCAGACAGACGGGAGGTGTTGGCAGGGTTAGGGTACACTTACAGCGATGGTTGTTGGTTCACTGCAAATGACCTCACTGTTGATCTCTGACTTTCTTTAAACAGTGACAGTCAATGAGACTCTGCTGATGAGCTTCTGCACATTCAGAGCCCTAATTCCCTGCAAAAGTGTGTTGATTGTAAAGCTGAGAACCATCAATATGAACCTTAGTGAACAATAAACTCATGACCAAACGTCTGGAACATGAAGTCTTTGTTATTTAATTTGTTTATTAGACAGCTATGGCACTTCACTCCATTTAGTCATTTAAGAAAAATATATTAAAAGTATAATGATACTGTTTGGGTCTAGCAAACAAACAATAATGGTCCCAGAATGGAGCTTTGGGGTACCCTGCATTTGTAATTATATACAAATATTAAGAGGGAACTGTATCAAAACCACTATTTATGTAAATGATTACACAGATTAAAATAGTTTTGTTTATAGAATATTGATTTGTAACACTTTATAACAACACTAACTGAACTATGGCGCATTGGTACCTAGTCTTTAATTTCGCTCTAGGGGAAGCTATGGCCCTTTATTCAACAATTAGGATATTATGTAACTTTAACATGTTACCTGGATTCAGTAGTGTTTGTGTATTACATTATTATATTGCTATATACGCCGATGTAAAATGCTGACATATTAAATCATAATCCTGATTCTGTATAAATTGCAAAAAGAATTAAAGTACTTGCTCTTCATTTCTCTGTCTCTCTTAGATAAACCACCCGTGTTTCTGGATTAGGTGACTCTATTCTTAATACAACGGAAACCTTAAATCCATCTTTCAAAACTAATTGTACGTCCTTAAAGCTCTTCCTCCCTGCTGACGTCTGTGGAGGACACTGACGAGGTTACTCAGGTGAAATACTGCTCCTGGATCTGTGGATAAACAGATTTGAACCAGGTCGCTCGAGGCAAAATGTCCAACGTTACAGAATGATGTATGTGGAGTGCTGCCAATTAACTTCAGCTAAATCCCAATAAACTCCAACATTTGTCACTTAGAAAGCACCTTTCGGATATAAATGTCCAGTGGAAATACGTTGTATGACACAACACAATACAGCACTGTATGTTTGATTTACTTTGAAGTATCTTATTTTTTGTTTTATCATATTTCCTCTTGATTTGGGTTTTGACTTTTTTGTAACCACTCCTTTAATTGTCACATTTATGGCAATGTTTTGGCTGAGAGCTTCTGTTTTTCTCTTCTTATAAGGGTAAAGATTTGTAGATTTAGTAGATTAGGATTACGTTTCTTTTATCAGAATAACGACAAATATGATCTTTAAAGTGGGAAAGACACAACCACGCACTATGAAGCCATGTGCAAAAACAAAACTCAAAGACATGTTATCACACAGAAAATGAGACCATCACTTAAAATGTACTCAACTGGAGTAAAAAAAAAAAACAGCCTATTTGTGTTTCCGAGTTAAGATCTAATGAATGATTCAGTTTCACATGGATCGACTGAACTGAAATTGAGTTGACCCCCGGGCTGAGGTCAGGAGACCCGAGCGCCGCTTCAGCCAAACTTAACCCCCCGCCTGGACCTGAGTGTCCTCTATCGAGTTTGACAGCAGTCGTTGTTTTGGGGGAGGGACGGAGGAACTCGTCCCCTGACGGCTCACTCGAGGGTGGCGGTTTGGAAAGTCCACTTTGACCTCCGGGGCTTCAGTAGTGGACAGTCGTTTCTCCCCCCCCCCCCCCCCCCCACACACACACACACACACACACACACACACACACACACACACACACACACACACACACACACACACACACACACACACACACACCACACACACCACACACACACACACACACACATACACATACACATACACACGCACACGCACACACACAGTCTCTGGCTGTTTGACCTTTAAATTGACCTCTGGACACTGTCCATGTCAGTCATGTTTTGGCTGCAGCTTAACGCTACCATCAGGTTGGATAAAGAGAACATTCAGAAGTTTCCTTGGTTTGACCCCCCCTTTAACCTGATTACAAGCCTGTCTTTAACTACTAAAATGCAAAAATTCACCTTAACAAAGTTACATTTCCTGTTTTTGTCACATGCAGCACTGTTTATTCTTGCCCTATATTTACAAACACTTTTAAATGTATATCCTGCAATCAATCAAATGAGAGAAGATCTACATTTGTGCTGCATAAAATGTATTCATATTCTTCACCTCCAATAATATACTAATCTCTTTCTTTTAATGAAACAATCTGAGCAGGAAAGAAACCTTGCTTTAACTGCTTACAATTCATATCCACACTAAAGCTATTTTCTGTAATAAGAGGTCACAATCAGAAGTGGGCATTGAAATACACGAGATATTTCACAGACCCATAGCGCCCTCTAAAGTCTAATAACTGTAGAGCATTTTACACTAAGGGTGAATTTGCTCTTCGTGCAGGTCATCCTTCAAATGGCTGTTGAAGTGAGAATGGAAATACAACCTTCGATATCAGGGTATATGCAGGAATCCTGAAGTCAAATTTAAGACCTTTTATTAAGACCCTTTCCATACATTTTAAGACCTCATCACCACTTTGAGTTTTAACCGGTTACCTTGGCGACACACTTTACCTCACATTGACTATATACAGTATTGATTGTCCTTCCTCCTTATCTTCCAACCATTTGGACGCAAATTGCATTTCCCCATAACGATGTTGTTTAACAACCGGCGTAAACGGACCGTCGCGCGCTATCAAGCAGTGAGCGCGCGATGTCCTGTTCAGATGACGTCAAATCCAACGGGATGCCATAAATAAACTACACAGAATCACACTACACACCTACGCAATGATTACATTCAGGCACACTTTAGAATACAACCTCTTTGGACCATTTATATACTTATTGAAAACAAGATACAACATTTAATACCTTGGAAAATGCCGTTTAATACTTTTTAATAGCCTTCATTTTCGCTAAATTGATTTATCAACTTTTTAAGACCCCGCGGACACCCTGGTAGAGCATTTGACACTAAGGGTGAATTTGCTCTTCATGCAGGTCATCCTTCAAATGGCTGTTGAAGTAAGACTGGAAATACAACCTTCAATATACTGACAGAAAGAAGAAACATTTAATTGTATTTATTTTAGATTTTTTTGCAAGTACAAAACATTTTTACTAAACTACGACAAAATGGAAAGTGCTGTACACAAGTAAACAAAGTAATGTAAGTTTGGTCCAGGTTCAGCATCTGGAGGCAACTCCGGAAACTGCACTGAAGTTATTTCAGACCAGTGAACAGTGGTTTCTCTTTTAAGTTGCTCACATGATCACTAAGAAAATAGGAATTAAGTCAAAAATATCTAGATGAACGGCCTTCGAGCATGACTTGAGTAACCTACATTTAGCAAGGCAGCTGTGACAAAGTGTTTTAAAGAAACCAAATCAGAATCCCTTTACCTTTATTATTATTATTAAAACAATGTATTCTAACAAATTGAACGTGTACGTTGGCACACCATGACATGTATGTCACCAAGTATTTAATTGGGACATAAAATACAGTGAAAAATACTTCAGAATAGAAAGAAAATGACTGTACACTATTTACATTTTTTGTTATAGTTTGTCAACATCTATGCTATACAAAGGAGTTTAATGAATGGAATCAAACGTCCTGGTTTCAACAGAGCAGAGTTTCATGAATCTTCTTGACAATCTTTGTCAGGACGTTCTTGGCCGGACTGAAAGACGCCACAATCACCTCGATCGGTTTGATCCTGCAAAAACATGAAAACATAAAATAGTATCGTTTGTGAGGAAGTGGTTAGATATTCTAGCTAACATATCATTGTGCTACCTCAGACACATTTTTATTCAGAGCTGCATTTCCTTCCACCCAAAAAGTCATAAGCACAACCTCACTTCATTTTGACTAAATGTGTATTTGAGTCAAACTTACGTTGTGTTTCCGATCATGTTCTTGAAGCTCTGCACTTTAAGGACACAGTGGCGGGCGATCAAACTGACCGAGAAGATCACCTCAAACTTGGAAAATGTCTTGAGACAGCTGAAGACAATGTGCACTCTAGAGAAAGGGAAATAAGAAAATTAATTATATAAAGATAGCTTAGCTTGTTTGTAGCTTTGAGTATATACAATTAGCTGACCCATTAATGACAGATTTGACATGTTTTATTATACATTTTCCTTCCAATACGGCAAGGACTGGTTATTATTTGTGGGTAAGAGTTCTTACTGAGTGTCCACACAGCTGATGCTGAGAATATCGAGCCTCAGACCCCCCCACATTTTCAGCAGACGCAGCTCCTCCCCCAGCAGCCGACAGCGACTCACCACCAGGCTAACATCGTGCAGCAGCTTCACAAAACAGGAGACAATACCTCAGTGTAAGGTTTCAGAGTAACCGTGTAAAATTGTATTTTCACCAAAGCAAACAGAGACAACTTTGACACAGAATTCTACAAGTGTACCGAGTAGAAAAACTTTAAAAAGTCTGACCACAAACAAGATAAATACAAAACCCCTTCACACACACATACCGTTGGAACATGTCTGCTTGTTGGATAAGTCTCCACCCAGTCAGTGTTTCCCTCTACGTACTGAGAGAGCAGTTTGTGAACGAGGCGGGCGTGGTCCTGCGACTTCTCATCTAGTAAAATAACAAAAGAGCAGTTGATGTTAACACAAATGACCAGTCTCAAAAACGTCCCCCATGCTCAAAATGTACGTTATATAATTACATCATTTGGATCACACAGGTTCTGCCAATTTATTGTAAATGACTCTTTATGACTAGCTACTTTCTGTTTGCTTTTTACTCACCATCGAGTAGAAGTTTGAATGTGATGTGTGATATCTTCCTCTCAGACTTATCAGCATCATTTCCTGCAAAAAAAAAACAAAAAAAACTCTATCTGCATTTTTTTTTATTTATAAAAAAGTATATCCATTGGTATACAAACATATTTTCTATAGAATCTTTGAAATCTAAAATGTTAACCTTAAAATGTATTCAGACCTCCTGAAGTCAAATGTAAGACCTTTTTTAAGACCCTTTCCATACATTAAGACCTCATCGCCACTTCGAGTTTAAACCGGTTACCTTGGCGACACACTTTACCTCACATTGACTATATACAGTATTGGTTGTCCGCAATGATTACATTCAGGCAGACTGTAGAATACAACCTCTTTGGACAATTTATATACTTATTGAAAACAAGCTACAAAATATAATACCTTGGAAAATGCCCTTTAATACCCTTATTTTTCGCTAAATTGATTTATCAACTTTTAATACTTTTTAAGACCCCGCGGACACCCTGATCTTTGAAAAGACTTGAGAGCTTGAGACTTGTTTTGCTCTGAATGAAATCACTAATCAGTGATGTGAAAGTCTGTCTAGGAAACAGAATACATAGTTTAGGAGGTGAACAACAGTTTTACCTGCTGTCCACCGTCTAGAAGCTTGTTGACATATCTACAGTTTAAAAACAAATAACCATTGACTCGTTGGTTTCTGTTGAAGACCACTCACCATTGGGTTTCTCAAACAGCAGCTGGAGATCAAGGGTCTTGTGGAGGAAAGTGTAGATGGTGGAGTTGTCGCTCCTTTCTGCAAACTTCCATTCATTTAACCTGAGGTAAGAGATGTAAAGAAAATGTTTTAAAAAAGCAGGTTCTGGTGGTTGAAAGTAGATTATTGCTGTGTATTCTGAAAGCAAAAATGAACAGTTAAAAGGATAAACTCACAGATGAAGCAGGCTGACGTGACTCTCCAGTCTCCTCTTCTCTGTTCTCAGCTTGTTCAGTTTGTTTGAACTCTGCTTCTTCTGCATCTCCAGTTCGGCTTTTTGTCTGTGGCAAAACAAAATAAAAACGAGTTAGAAACCAAAATAACTTTCTGTAACTTAGGCATGAGGAAGATTTGTATTCAAATTCTCAACTGACCGGTCATTGTCAGCCAAAGCCTCAGTGGCTTCCTGCATATCTGTCAAATAAACCAATATTAATAACATTCATTTCAAGAACACAACAATAAGTAAATGAATAAGTAGTATTCAAAGTTACCTTCCTGAAGGGATTTCAGACTTGGTTTGTCTTCAAATCCCTTTTCTTCAACTACAGCAAGTTCTAAAAACAGGAATAACAAAAAGAGTTACTGAATAATTTGCTCAGTATACAGAGAAGGCGGCAAGGAGAACTGCACAGCCATGACCAAATGTTTCCGTAGTATACAGTGGCGAAGTCCCGCCCAACTACTTCCGACCCATGGGACTTCATTCGGAAAAATTATGTATTGAAGTCAATGGGGAGAGAAAACGTATCTTTCGACCCCGTTTGAATTGGGCCACGAATTACACATATGATGTTTGTGAATCTTAAATAATAATTTCCATGTCAAAAAAGTCACAGTTTGTCGTAAAACTGTTGAAATATAAGACTATGAAACGCAACTAGAAAGACTACAAATCCCAGAATGCCGGTCCCGCATGCTGGCTCTTACGGAACCGACTAACTCCCCTTGTGTGTGTGCACAGCTCTCAGCGTGCCCAGACTTGTAGTGATTTTCACCTCGTTTAATACTTTCCGCCTCATTCTGAAAGAAAGAAGTGAAATGTTTCAACGTGACGGCCGTCTTGGTGTGTGGAGCGAGACGGGAGATGTAGTTCATCGAGCGGTTTCACACCAAAAAAAAAAAGTGTTACTTCACAGTTTTACGACACATTTTAATTGTTTTGACTTGCAAAATTATCTTTTAAATTGACAAACATCATGTGTGTAATTCGTGGCACAATACAAACGGGATCGAACGATAATCTTTCTCTCTCCATTGACTTCAATACATACTTTTTCCTAAATAAGGTCCCATGGAGGAAAGGGAGGGACTTCGCCTCTCTATCCTTACCGGTTTGTAATTCGTGAATACAGTCATCCAAGCTCTTTATCATCTCATCTGCTTTCCCAATCGTTCCTCTCAACCTCTGTTGCTCCTCCTGAAAACGTGGAACAAGGCAATTAGCTTCTACTATTCGAGTGTTGAAATTGAGTATTTCTGTGTGAAGGCTCTTACCAGGTTAGCCAGCACAAGCTTGGTGTACAAGACCTCCTTCATTTCATGCGACAGAACTTTGCTCGTCTTCCTGAAGAGGTTATTTCTCTCTTTTAGTTTTGCACCACACGATTTGAGCTGTGAATCCAAACAAACACAGTGAGGGTCAGGAACAAGATCATATGCTACATCTACACACACAGCAAAGGACATCTGCTAAAATCGCCAAATATAAATCACACGCATCAATTTAAAAGGACGGGAATTAGGTTCCTTTTTACACTGCCTTTGTGCAAAATTAACAAACGTATTAACAGACTGGTAGGGATGGGTATCGTTAAGGTTTTAACAGTCCTGCTACTTGTATCGATCCGGTCTTTTAACGATACTCTTTTCGGTTCTTTTGGAGAAAAAAAATAAGGTAAACTAACTAAACAAATTGTGAACAAAATTAACATTGCTTTTTATTTAAATACATAATATTTCACATCAAAAGAAACAACAATATTTTAATAAATCATATTAAATAATCTGATGACAGAACTGTAAACAGAATAGCTGAAACTTTAACAAAATAAATAACTCAGTTTCCTCTAATCATTAACCCATGTTTGTATAATGTAGTTAACTCCGTGTGTTGCTGCTAGCATACATAACACCTGACGTGGAAACGTTCCTCGTGGATGGGGCTACAGAGCTGCTAGAAAGACGGTCGAACCCGGTGCATTTCTCCGTCTGGATGTGGAGCACTTTTGATAAATGTTTAGACAAATTGCTCGTTACCGCCCTTACGCTAAACTCTTATTGCACTTTAGGCAACGAGCATTGTCCACATCGAGACGGGTAAAGTTTAACCACACCTCGGAGTGCGTTCTCTCCGCCATCTCCGCAGTGTGTTGCTGCATGTAGCAGAGCGTGTGTGTAAACTGCCCCGCCCCCTCGCACACAGACGGGGAGAGAGATCTCGTCTGGATTGGAAAGATCGAAAATACTAAAAATAATCATAGACGCATTTTGTAGTCTTTTTGCGTATTAGAAACGGAGTTGGCGACACTAAAACTGCAATATAATGTTTGTGTAGCAATATTACATATATTTTTGAAATGTCTCCAGTACCGACAAAAAGACCGATAACGTCGGAGCGTAACGGTACCACGGTCTTTAATAATTCAGCCCCGGGGCCCGTTTAATACCGGGGCTCGGTACCCATCCCTATACACTGGAGTTAGCATGTATTACCTCTTCCCCTGAAGCATTTCTCACTTCTTCCCACAAAGCTCGATTAACAATCTTCAGTGGTCTGTCCAAGTCCTGCATCCTCTCCTTCAACCTGGGGAGAAAACACAACAGGCTTTGGTTTGAGCTTCAGTCATAATTTAACTTCTTGAAACACTATCCGGATCACATACAGCATGTATAAAGAAATATAAGAAGCCCCATATATACAGAACAACATACTTCATACGCTGCCACTTCCAATCGAATTCAATAAAAGATATGCTGCTTTTTAAAGGGCATTTAGGGGGCAAAGCCGACAAAAAATAAGACATGATTACTCTCTCAGGGAAGCTCAATGTGTCAAACTTCTTCTACACATATTAATCTCAGTCGTAAATGTTTTATACAATCTTAAACGTACATACCCCTCCACCATCTCTTTGAGGTTCAGGACGTCTGTTTTATACACCGTCATTTTGGGACCGTTGATGTGTTTGTCCTTCAATAAATCCATCTGTGTGCAATCTGTGTCCAACTGAAGCTGCAAACACAACACGATAGATGACGGCTCTATTTTTTGACGTTTGTTCATTAGGTTTTTTAATAAATTAAGATTTACTTACTCTGCGAGGGAGGATGCTCTCCCGATTATTATGAATGACAAAATGTATGTTGAAGACTTTGAAGAACTCCAACACTGTAACGGTGCCATCTTCAAATTTCTGTAAAAAACATTGTAGACCATAAACAATTGAGTAAAAACGAATATTTCTAATCTATCTAGTTTTAAAACACATCAACAACCTACCCTCGGTAAATCATTGGTGAAGTCTTCAAGCTGTGATTCAAACAGGCTTTGTTTGGAAGCTGAAAGAACGAAGAAGAATAATTGTTGAAACATAGTTGAAAAAGGGTTTTAATGACGTGAATCCAAAACAACTTACCGGTACTTTCAAAAGTAGCTTCACATCTCGTGCTGGCTGTGTGACTGCTGGTGGCGTAATCTGGGGTGTGTGCTGTCATGCTCGGAGCTGCAGTAATGTTGCCGTCACACTCCTCAACTTCAGACTGTAATCCCTGGCAACCAATAAAACAAATTAGGAATCTCTATGACAAAAAAACTACAATAAAATAGGCTATTAATTCTCAATAGTACTTAAGCAAAGAGAAGTAAATCACCATTACCATTACATTCAGCATAATACAATTCTATAATCTAATAAACTATAATCCTATCAGGACAACAGTCATGTCATACTCAATCTACTGTAATGCAACCATCACTACCTACAGTTGTTACAACATTAAAAGCCAAAATTATGTATTTTGACTCAATAGAAGGCCTTTAATGTGTCAAAACAGCAAAATGAACAAAACCTGAAAAAAGTAGGGAATAAAAATGCCTTTATGTTTAAGAAGGAAGTTTGATATTCTATATAAATGGTAAGGATTTAAGAGAATACCTCATCTCCCAAAATGATCGTTTGTTCTAAGCAACACCTCATTTCTTTAATTCAATGAGAGTTGTATATGTTTTCAACGTTGTATTTCATAATGAAGGCATGTAAGAACGTTTTCTTCACAAGTTCAAGCTAACAAAGGGTGAGTAATTGGCGATCATTTTGGGGGTGAAGCAATCCTTTAAGGCTTAATAAAGATCCATCCATTACTTGAGACTTGACAGTACTCTAATTGGACATACCTTTTCACCCTCAGTGGCTGCCTCATTGTATGTCTTCCATCTCTTCTCATCCTGTGGGTTATTTTCCTCCTCTGACAAAAGTCTCTTTTTGCTATTTACGCTGCAGCTCAAGTCCTGTTGAAATAAGTTGTCCTGTAAAATCTCTTCCATGTGTAAGTCCTGGGTAGCACTCTCTTTTTCTGTGGCTTTCGGAGGACTCATTATGTCCAGTGTTTCTGACAAATCTTCATAGCTTCCAAGCTCCTCCTCATAGATATTGCTCACACCATCGTCGAAGTTGCTCAGTTGATTAGTAACATTCACTGTTGTTGTAAATTCTCCCGCAGCAGACTCCTTTTTTTGATCATCAGGTTTGTTTCTTTGCGGGAGTTTTGCCTTAAAGCCTCCTACTGAGAGTCTGGACATCAGTTTAGTCTTCAAGTTGTAAGGGGTAGTAGAGGGTTCTTCTTGTGTAAGACATTGAGCTTGTGGATTTTCTTCTGTATTTAGTAAACCTATTTCATGTGCAGGCTCTGTTACAGGTAGGAATGCTGTTTTGTCCATTGAGTTTTGGTCCATTTCGCTTTCCAGTCCAGTCACAGGTGCTGTGCAGCTGTCCAAGGCGATAGTATCAGGAGCTGTGTTCATCATGTGGCTTAAACGCCTCACTTTTGACTGAATATCGGCTATACTAATTAGTCTAGACTTCCGTGAAGGCGCAGCGTCAACAACGGCACCAGGATTACTCTCCATCTTCTGTGGTAAAGTACACGTTTGATTTCTTGGTTCAGGTTCCTTCCAGATGTACGTTTCTTTTGAGTCTAGAGCATCGGGAACGTTTATGATTTCCAGACATCCAAGTGCTTCATTGATCTGGGGGCATTGAGGTGGCTCATCTGTACACGTTTGTCCCAGAATGCTACCCGTTTGAGCTTCAGTCATATCAATGCTTACATCGTCCTGTGGATCTTCTGTCATGGTTTCGTTGACCGGCTTCTCTATTACAGCTGAGATGAACCCTGGAGCTTCATTATCAGTATCCACATTGGGCTTCTGTTTTCTAAGTGGGCCATTTGTGTTGACAGTTTCTTGAAGGCCTGCAGCAGCAGCCACTTCTCCGGTGTTCACGGCATTAGCACCACTTTTAATGGACAGGGTGTTTTCCAAAACGTGTGCAGATCGGTTTCCAAGCGGCCGCTGCGTTTTCTTTGCAGATAAAGGGAAATCCCTGTTTTCATTGGTGGATAATATGTTAGATTCTCTGTGTGGAAGATGTGGATCTGATTCTGAATTGCTGGCAATGTTTACAGCAAGGAACTGGGTCACATTCATAGCCGCATCAGTGGCATTGAACTTGTCAGTTTTTTCTCCACAAGCAGGTAGACTTTCCACATTTTGGTAAGACTTTGGTTCAAAATCAGTGGAAATGTTTACAGTGCGACTTCTTGTCACATCTTTAGCTGCATAATTTGCACTGAACCCCATTGTTTTCTGCACACAAGCTGGTAAGAAGTCCACATTTTTGTGTGGCTGCTGTTTTAAATCTGTAGCGATATTTACACTGTGGCTTCTTGTCATATCCATACAGGCATCGTCAGCATTGAACCTGACAGTTTTCTCTCCACAGGCCAGAAGGATGTCCATCTTTGGTTGTGACTGTGGTTGTATATTGGTGTCAATTTTTGCCGTGTGACTTCTTGTCACATCCATACAGGCATCGTCAGCATTGAACCTGACAGTTTTCTCTCCACAGGCCAGAAGGAAGTCCACATTTGGTTGTGACTGTAGTTGTATATTGGTGTCAATTTTTGCCGTGTGACTTCTTGTCACATCCATACAGGCATCGTCAGCATTGAACCTGACAGTTTTCTCTCCACAGGCCAGAAGGATGTCCATCTTTGGTTGTGACTGTGGTTGTATATTGGTGTCAATTTTTGCCGTGTGACTTTTTGTCACATCCATACAGGCATCGTCAGCATTGAACCTGACAGTTTTCTCTCCACAGGCCAGAAGAATGTCCATCTTTGGTTGTGACTGTGGTTGTATATTGGTGTCAATTTTTGCCGTGTGACTTTTTGTCACATCCATACAGGCATCGTCAGCATTGAACCTGATAGTTTTCTCTCCACAGGCCGGAAGGAAGTCCACATTTGGTTGTGACTGTGGTTGTATATTGGTGTCAATTTTTGCCGTGTGACTTCTTGTCACATCCATACAGGCATCGTCAGCATTGAACCTGACAGTTTTCTCTCCACAGGCCAGAAGGATGTCCATCTTTGGTTGTGACTGTGGTTGTATATTGGTGTCAATTTTTGCCGTGTGACTTTTTGTCACATCCATACAGGCATCGTCAGCATTGAACCTGACAGTTTTCTCTCCACAGGCCAGAAGGATGTCCATCTTTGGTTGTGACTGTGGTTGTATATTGGTGTCAATTTTTGCCGTGTGACTTCTTGTCACATCCATACAGGCATCGTCAGCATTGAACCTGATAGTTTTCTCTCCACAGGCCGGAAGGAAGTCCATCTTTGGTTGTGACTGTGGTTGTATATTGGTGTCAATTTTTGCCGTGTGACTTCTTGTCACATCCATACAGGCATCGTCAGCATTGAACCTCACAGTTTTCTCTCCACAGGCCGGTAAAAAATCCAGATTTGGTTGTGGCTGCAGTTGTAAATCACTGACAATTTTTACTGTGTGACTTCTTGTCACATCCATACAGGCATCGTCCGCATTAAACCTGACAGTTTTCTCTCCACCTGCAGGCAGATTTTCCACATATTTGTAGGGCTGTTGTGCGAAATTGGTGGCAAGGTTTACATTGAGGCTTCTTGTCACATCCATAGCTGCATCATCTGCATTAAACCTGACTGTTTTCTCTTCGTAATCAAATTTGACCTATGTGTGGAGAAAACAACAATAACTAAGTGGTCAGTCATAGAAAACATCGACCTTCAAATTACATTAAAAAGTGCATTTACTGCGATTCTGCAAAACTTAAGGAATTAGTTTATTTCAGCTGAATCAAAATATAACCACATAAAGATAAAATACAGCTCTATAAAATGTAACTTAATAATTCATACAAAGTTGCTGTATATAATTCATTTTGCATAAAGTTAATGCACATGAAAACTAAAAAAGTAATTGATTTTTAAGCTTACCGGATTTCTTTCGGTTTCCAAACCTAATATGTGGAGATAGAAAATTAAATAAAATGTAAGTTAGTAAACCCAAAGTCCCATTTTGATTCACATCACCATTCACATTACCACAATCAAAATTGGTTAAAATGTTCATTAGCATTTTTATTAGGGATGCACGATATTGGTTTTTTGAAACCGATACCGATAACTTCCTGCTTCTCAAGACCGATACCGATAACCGATAATATAAAAAAAAATTCCTCGGCCGCCCCGTAGTTTCAGAGCGCATCGAGTTTAAAATACCATCTACAAGCTGATGCTAACAGTCCCGCTCCTGCCGCCCGCTTGTGGCAGACCACACTTCCACGCTCACCGGCAGGCACCGACTGGCTGTTGGGAGGACCGGGAGGGTGTGTGTATGTGTGGCCCCAGCAAGCGAGAGAGAGACCTTACGTGCATTGTTGTTGTTAGCATCTGGTGCTAGCTAGCTGCGCTAACGGATACAAGGAGCTGTTTAAATGAAAACAGAGGAGCGACATTTCGCCACAACTGCGCCGAGCACTTGACTTTATGCAGGAAGCCAGACAGTGGGGCATTGTACGAAAAGTCAGCACACTCAGCACGGATAGTGCGCAACATGATTGCAGCGTCCAGGCAGCTCCGGTTCGAGCATAAGCCTTGAGTTGCACATAGCTCCAACGCCCATACCACCGACGACATGTTTGTTTACTGTCCTGGCTTCACGGCCGCACACCATTTACGTCACAGCCAGGCATGAGTTAAGGCCCTGTCACACTGTCCCGAAATTGACACCCGATGGACACACGAATATGGAATTGTGAATTTCGCACGATGATGGCCCCGAACCACACACGAAGGCAACATTTACATTACATTTAAGACATACAACTGCAATGAAAGTACCAAAAACAATTGTGTTACGTGCTATATCTTCAGACTTTGTTCTTTACTTTATCCGTCGTTATATGTAGAACATATTACGTTTTCTCCGTACTGTTGTTTCCATAACAACAACAACTTCCTGTCAACTGTCCTTCAAAATAATATATTATATCCTTTTCAGTTTCACAGAACACAAATTGGGTTATTTACATAATATATTTACATGATTTTGTTGTGCAATAAAACAACCCGATGGACACACGATAAAGGAAATGTTCAAATTTGGCTGTGATCGTAGCAACATCGGGCCATTCGTGAGGGCATCTTAAGCCATCGTATGACCGCCGGTGGAGTTTCTCAGGCTCCGGCAGCAACTTAGTGAGCGGTGGCAAAATCTTTGGCATGCCAACAAATTGCCGAAGGACCTTGCGAAGGTTCATTTTCGTGTTGAATTCGTGTGTCAATTGTGCCCTTCGTAAGGCCATCATGAGGGCATCGTGTTATCATCGGTGCCATCGGGCATTCGCCCCGATCAGAGTGAGGGCGAATGCCCGATGGCACCGATGATAACACGAAGATGACACGATTTGACAAGATGTCCTCACGATGCCTTACGAAGTTGCCGCTCACTAAGTTGCTGCCGGAGCCTGAGAAACTCCACCGGCGGTCATACGATGGCTTAAGATCCCCTCACGAATGGCCCGATGTTGCTACGATCACAGCCGAATTTGAACATTTCCTTTATCGTGTGTCCATCGGGTGTCAATTTCGGGACAGTGTGACAGGGCCTTTAGGGAGCGCTGGATTTGTGAAGAACTCCCCTCTTCCTAAACCACTAATACCACAGTACTGACAAAACGGGAGGAGCCGAGTGAAAAACAAGCGCCCCTCATCCCAATCCACCCACACCGCAGTATTTCTTTCTTTTTTGTTACCCAAAAAATATATTGTATATTATCGGGGCTATTAATACTGGTATCGGGTTTATCGGGATGACGTCATAATTCCTAATATCGGACCGATAATTATCGGGCCGATAATTATCATGCATCCCTAATTTTTATATCTCAAGGTCTTGTTTTGGTTTCTTTCTCACAAATGTAGGGGGAAAGGTTTGTAGTTTCCATACCTGTGCGGTCAGAAGATCCTAGCACTTTGTTTTTCTTCGCTCCTGAAGTCATCTCTTGTTTCTTCACACTTTCACTGTTGGTGTACATATAATGTGAAGGAAACATAAACTGGAAAGGCTCCTCTGATCCCGTGGGTCCTGTAATGTGGCCGGTCTGAGCTTCAGTCATATCCATGCTCCCGTCATTTTCAGCACAGATTGTACCTCCATTAAATGATTTTCCAAAGCTCCTAGATGTAATTTGTGACTGATTCTCTTTACCAACATAACTTTTACGCTCGGAGAGGGAGCTGTTTGCGTTGACTGTTTCCCTAGAGGATGCTGCAGAGGAAAGTACCATTCTAGCAATTGCTGGATTATCACTGGGGGTGCCAACTTTAGAGACAATTGAAGGGAAGTTTTTAAATCCAAGATCCACAGCATTTGCTGACGAGCCAGGCACACCAGTATTTTCCCGTTTTCGTTTAGCCAATGAACCACTGGCAATGTTGACCGGGTGACTCGGAGTCATATTCATAAACTTGTCGCTTGCAGAGAACATTATGGTTTATCTCTGCATTCATCTTTAGTACCAAGGGTGACCTGAAGAAGAAAAGACAGAAACAGCGTTAAAACAATGGTGTGAAAACTATACTATTATTATACAATCAATTACTATAACACGTTTAATTTCATTTCTGTTTGGCATGAAAGATTACTTTCAGACTTAAAGATAGGAAATTCACTGTAACAGCACAGTAAAAATAATAATGAACTCACCCTGTGTCTCTGAGCCTGCATAGAACGATTCCTCCCGGATATCATATCTAAATTTGAAATAAAATAAGATGCCGTTTAGACTATATTATATTTAATTATAAGTAGTGAGATAACACCAGCATAATGAAGACAAACAATGCGAGAAATACATTAGTGTTGGAACATTAAGTTGAATAATCATTTAGTTATTTTGTTGATATGAAATGCAATACCTTTAGGGTTGAATGATGCCGGTGTTTTGCTGATTGGCTGCTGTTTGGTCTTCCCTGCTGTCTGTGGCGCTCTGTTCTCGTGTTGGGAGTACATTTCTTGCGTGGGAAAAAGACACTGAAAGGGATCATCCTCATCCTCATCAGTAGATCGCAGGATGCGGCCTGTTTGAGCTTCAGTCATATCCATGCTTAAATCATCTTGGGGAGCGATTGCACTGCCATAAGAAAAGTCACCAATCTTTCTGGATGTATTTAGAGACTTATTTTTCACAGCTGAAGTTGGAACCCAATTTTCTTCATCCACACAAAATGTTTTCATCTGGGCCATGGAGATGTTTCCTTTTTCGGAGGATGTACCAGCAGCGGGCGTGGTTCTGGTGGTCAAAGGGTTAACGCTGGGGCCCGATATTTTAGAGAAGCAGACGTTTTCATATCCAGGATGCAACAAAGGCATTGCTGAAGATATGTTGCTCTTCTCTACAGTTGAATTCAAGTTCATGCTTGTGGGTAGTAAAGCAGGAACACTTGGGGTCATATCCCTAGATGCATCACGTGCACCGAACATGAAGGTTTTCTCTCCTCTAGCGGGTAAAACATCATGGTTTTGGTGGGGAATACTTTCGAGTAATTCTGCATTACTGGCGATGTTTATAGTTTGACTCTGGGTCATGTCCATGAATGCATTATCCGAGACTATCATCGTTTTCTCCACCAAGTCCATCTCAAAGTTGACCTGGTGAAGATAAGTAGCTTGAGCTCAATGAATGTTTGTTAAAAATATCAAGTTTCTCATGAAATCCTGATTACCATTATAATATATATATAATTACATTACATGTTACTTGTTAGACGCTTTTATCCGAAGCGACTTACATACTCAATACTGTGGGCAATCCCCACAGGAGCAATTTGGGGTGAAGTGTCTTGCCCAGGGACACAACGACATGCTGACTGCAGTGGGGTTTGAACCTGTGCTCCCCTGATCCCAACACCAACGCACTAGTCCACTGCGTCACACGCCTCCCACATATAATCATTACAAAGGAATTTAACCATTCTCAGCAAAGTGTCTTCAGGCTCACCTCATCCCTTTGCTGAAAAGCATGCAGAGGGGCCTTCAATAGGGTTTCCATCCCTAAAATTGAAGAGTTGAAATGTAGTAATAGTCATTTTACGCTATAACAGATAATGTGAGCATTTGGTAATATTTTTTTGAAGTTAAAAGTTAATATTCTCACCCCAAATGTGTTGTTTGCCATCTTCAGTGCTTGCCAACTGGACCCTTATGAAAGAGAACACACTTGTGTTGGTCATACAATACATTGTATTGGTTTGGTGTGACTGTAGGTCAAAAATTAGCATCTAAAATCAAATGTTTTGTGATAGTAACAAGTAGGGCTGCTCGATTATGGCAAAAAATCATAATCTCGATTATTTGGGTCAATAATTGATATCACGATTATTAAAAAACGATTATCCTTTACTTTGAAAACATCAATTTATTGGAGAGAAAAAATGTGAACAGTACGTTTTTAACAGTTGATTACCCTGAACTTTAAGTATAATTCAACTGAAAAACCAATATTAAAAAAATTAATACAAAAAAAAAAAGTAATAATAAAAAATAATCGTTTTATTTCGATTACGTTGTTTTCGTAATGGTTGCAAGCCATAATCGTAATTGCGATTAAAATACGATTAATTGAGCAGCCCTAGTAACAAGATGAACCACAGAATAGGTAGTGCTTCAAACGATCAAGACAACTTACCTATTTTGTGTGGCTGCTGCTGCTGTGGAGTAACACAAGACAAAGATGAAATGGGTGTTAAAAAAAGAATAATTTTAAATTCACATACTTATACACGCTACACTTTATACTTACATGTTGGTATTAAGTCTTGTACAGGACTTCGAACAGGAGAGTCATTTTTTTCATCGCTGTAAAAAAATATATTGATTAGGAGAACATTCCTGTGTCTGTAGAAAATCAAGACTACCTTCATTTTTGTATCTCACCTTGAAAACAGGAGAACACCATTGGCAGGGGCAAAACTGACTCTTCTCGAAACCCTCTTTTCCACTGGTTTGGGACACTCCACCTTAGTGAAAAAATATATATAATGTAAAGATAAGGCCATAAACAATGTAAATAACACTAAACTGAATCCTTGATAGGTTCAGAATTTATATTTCATAAATATATAATGGTTTAAAAATACATTTAATTACAATACAAACTCCCAATACTCAGGTAACATTTTTAATCAAGTAATCCAGTTACCACCACAATTTCTTGTTGCTGTGGGTCAGAATATCTCATCGATCTTCGTGGTGCTTTTAAAATCTAAAAAGGAGATATTGCAAATGTCATGGTTAAACTTTAGGCTAATGGTTTTCTCACATAGGAAGTCAAATTATGTATAGTCTGTCAATACAAATGTTTTGTAGCACTTACTGAAGAAATGCGGGGCTTGGAGAATCCCCTGCCTCCACTGAAACACAATACATGAAACACAGCCTCAGCCCTGGTGTATATAATGATATACAATGTAAATACATCAAATGACCAGTTAATCGTTAATGCAAGATAATTAGGTTGTCTGTGGGCGGTTGCTTTGAGGTTTGGACAGAAAATACTACGACTGCTTTTACTCACTCATTTCTGTCAGGATCCAGAGGCTCCATTTTCAACTGGGAAGAGATGAAGACAGAGCTTGATACAGGAAACACAGCTTCTGCAGTGTATGATCACATTTAAGTTGATAAGACATGGCATTATCTGTGAGCCAGACTATATATTTAGCAAGAGCATTACAATTAACAACCCCAAAAATATCATATTATAAGTGAGTCGTTAGCTGTATAAGGATTTAGCCTTTATAATCTAACTTGACATGTGATATTAAATTGCACCTATAAAAGTAGATTTACTCAAGTACTGCAATTAAGTACAATTCTGAGGGACTTTACTTGAGTATTGCAATAGTATTATTTCGCCTTTACCAGCTTTGGTAGTACAGAAACACATCAATAGTTATAATCAAAACATATGATATATATTATTCTGAAATGGGCAAATCTGCATGATGAGTACTTTTGGTATATTTTGATGCTAATACTTTCTACTCTTTCTTGAGTAACATTTTGAATGCAGGACTTGTAATTGTATTCCTACATTCTGGTACTTGTAGTTTTTAAAGTACAATATCTGAATACTTCTTCCACCTCTATGGATTCCCCCCCTTGTCAACAAACATATTATCCCAAAATACTTAGGCTAATAAGTTCGCATTTTTCTGCATTTAATACACAAGACAAATTGATGATTGAACACCTCGCTAGCGAAGATAACACATTGATTTTAGTGTAACGTTAAAGCTACTACGGTATTTAACGCTACCGTCTGTTTGTCTGCCAATATGACGAAAACCACATGAACAACAAAACGATACACCAAACTGCATACCTTGTAGTTGTTCTGAGCGTATTCCTGATGTTTTAAAACGGATAGTGTTGTTTTATCCCTTTGTCATTACTTACAACGGTTATCAATATCTTTAGCTGCTAAAATCAACGAGCCTCGATGCTAACATCTTCAGTTTGAATTTAGCCGCCGCCTCCGCAGTACACTATCTCTTTCTTTTACGTTTTTTTTATTTATTTCGCTAATTATTTCTGAAAGTACTCTAAAGTACTCTATTCTGACATATAGTTTATTTGAATAAGAAATACCACACTTTTAAAAATAAAAACAATTGTGAAAAACACGGGGTTTTGTACAGGATATCACGTAATCAAAACGGAAGTGATTATTGAGGGCGGGACGTTTTCAAAATTCGTGCGGTTGTGACTGTTGACAAATCTCAAATTTTTCGTATCGATAAAAGCAGCGCCATATAGAAGATTCTATTATACGGCTCTGGATAAAGGTAGGCGTTGTTGTTGTGTTATGCAGGGGCGGCGGGTGCTGTAGGCTAGGGAGGCTAAGCCTTCCCAAATATTTGTGTAACTGCATCCTGGTAAAATAAAAATATAATGTCTTTGACATTAGCGCTGCTATGCAGCCACCTGTGCCCTGTACCACGAAGCCAGTTCAACAGACCCTGGATATGCTTGAGTTATCTTAACTAACCCTAACAAACGCGATCTCGCTAAACGGTCCTACGGCGCTGGTTATCAACTCGGTAAATCAAGCCAGGGTTTCTCTCTCCAGCTGAGAACGCGTTCACGTGAAATGGGCGGGGTTAGCTACATTTGACCAATCACAAACAGGGACAAGTGTACTAACAGCGCAACATCATACTTCATTAATGAAAAGTAAACTAATATTAGACAAATATGAACTTTAAACATCCATGATTGACTTAAACATATAATCCAGGATACAAGCCACATAGCAAGGAGAATACAGAACAACTCGTTAAAAAATAAACTACCGAGTGTTTGAAAGCGTACAACAGTTTTATGATACTGCCCCCCTCTAAAACACGAGGGGATCTGACTTTATTACATTTCGTCAACTTAATGTGTTGCTTAAAATAATACGTGTGCATACAGTATATGTGACAATGTAACTAAGTGTTGCACGGCCAGATACGGCTCGAGAAGCTGACTCAGATAAGGAAATATTGTGATATCGATGATCTGATTGATGATGTGATGTCAGTGTGATATGAATGATAAGTGCGACACGTCGGCGTCTTCTCTGCATACGGCAGTTTAAACTGCATTTCCTTTTTCCTGTAATATGACTTGATAGATTTAAACTCCGCACACTGAGCTCTGATCGGTCAGCAGGCGGTGCTTTCACTGAGTCGATCTCTTTTCTATAGACTCCGGAGGCGGGCAGCGTCAGATGAAAACACAAGTTATTTAGCCTTCCCAAACCTGAGCCTCACGCGCCGCCTATGGTGTTATGTGTTATAACCATAGACTATATATTTAAAGGTTACTTATAACTAGACTCTTGATATGTTATTTTTCTTAAATCGTCACCGAATATTAGGAGAATCGCACCAAACTCCATAAAAAATACCTACAGTTGTATGTTCCGCATGATAGCGAATATATAGGGCATGTTATCCACTTATACTGTATGTAATCTGTTATTGTAATCCAAGATGAACCTATTGAATCGTAAGAATACATGTATGCATTGCAAACATTATACTGTAGTTTTAGGTAAACGGCTGGATCAGTGAAGATTTCCAGGAATAACTTAATTAAACTTAATCAGATTTTTTCTTCATACAGACCTTTGTCCTGACCTGCATTGTATTCATTGGAAAACGATAAAGCACAATGTCTTCAAAGATTCCAAGAGGTAAGCAAAATAAGCTTTTTTTTGCACTTTGATTGCATGTATATTAATGTATGTTTTAAATATTGTAATTGTATATTTTAACAGCTGATTTTTAACCTTGTGTTTTCCAGGTGTGCAGCTCCATACAGAAACAAAGACAACTGGTGACAACGTGACAAGGTAAGAAATTGCTGATTTCAAATCTTCAAGCGTAAAAACTGTACATGTCACGACTTAGAAGATGTTGGTTAAAACTCCTACAAATCCGACAACACTCAACAAGCTGATACATATGAATAAAAAACTCTATACAGACCTTTTGCCACCAGTTGTCAATTTACAGTAACACACGACTACAGCTTCAAATCAAATATTTTTTAGCCTTAAACCTTGCTCCCAAAAGGCAAAGGGATGAACGGAAGAATTTGGAGGCAAACCTAGAATGAAGTACAAAGTATAAACATCCTTATTGTAAAGTGAGTGCTCCATTCAGAGAAACCTTGAAGCACTTTACTATAATTTTCCTTTCATCATTCAATGCAAACTCATTCTTACCTGCCAGGCTCATAACATGTCTGCTTAAAAGTTATTGAATATCTTGTTTTCACTTGTGTCTTCCAGGAAAAATGTTGCTCCCAAAGGGTAAGTATGTTATATGTTATATCCTGAAAATGCAGTGAGCGTCATCCCTAATTTATTTTCAACTTTTGGATGCACCTGTCCTGTCTGTAGGTTATCCACCAGGTATGGGCAACAGCCAGGGCTCAAGGAGCAGAACCAGCATCTGATGGCTACCAACGAGGAGCTGCAGAAAAACCTCTCAGAGACACAGGTGCAGGAGACGCATTTAACAGAGTACTTTGGGCTGTATATTCTCTTGTGGCAGGAGCATTTCTCCCTTCTGTTTCCTTTCAGATGTACAGCTTTTCTTTCCTTGTATATTCCAGCAAAGAGTAGCTGAGTTGGAGCTGCAGTTCATGACATCGAAACGGAGAATGTGGAAGTAAAAGAAAACCTGAGGGACTGTCATGTCCTCTTAGTCGTTAGCCAACATAGACCCAGGTAAACATTTATTCAATTATTTTCAAATGTGTTTATCTTCATTTGTGTTGAGCTTGATAGAAAATAACATAACATCTCCTTAGTTGTAGGATTAAGAGTTGGAGAAGCTGCACGACAAGATGAAGATCAAAGAACGGAAGTTATGGTACGTTTATTTTATTTCAGTTTGCATATAGGTACAGTCGTTTTTTTTGTCATATGCTTTATCAAACTCACAAAAAACATTAAAGGTCTCCTATTATGCAAAATCCACCTTTTCACGTCTCTTCTACATCAACATGTGTCCCCTCTGTGTAAAGAGACTCTGAAAGTGTCAGGAACAAAGATTCTCTCTTTGTCCTGATCCATTTCTATAAAAACCTGTCTGAAAATGAGCTGATCAGATTTTGGCCACTTTATGATGTCATAACGATTTTTTGGCTTGTGTAACCATTAGCCAATCACCAGCCAAGGTAACCCCCCCCCCCCCCCCACCACCTTATCACCTGAATCTCCTCCTAGAGCTCCATTGTGTTCTTTGTAACCAAATCTCTCTCAGAGGGGCTCCTTATTTTCATCTAATGTAACAGACAGAGAATCAGCACTTTGGAAACAGAGCTGAAACAGAGGGGATTATGGGTAATGCTGCATTGATCTGTTTGGTATTTGGATCCAAACACTTCAAAGACATGTTCTCTATATATCTGAGACCTATAATATATTGATGAAAAACAGTGTAATAGGAGACCTTTAATATATATATACTAGTTATATGCCACAAAAAAATCCACAATTAAAGAAAAGTGAGAACATTTTACCTGTTTTTTTTAAATAATTGAAATTGGCACTATACTTTTATCCTACATTAAAGGGTTACAGAATGTAGGTTATCATCCGCAGTGCCATCTAGTAAACACACATTTCGATGTCTCCTTTTCAGAGTGTATCCACGAACCTGCTGAATGAATTAAAAGTGTTCAGAGACTCTGCATCCCAGCAACGTGCCGGCTAGAGGTGAGTCAACTCCTTTGTAATGATCCATTTAACGTTGTTATTTGCTGTATAAGATTTAAGGAAATGTTTTTAAATGTTCCTCATTTTACACGCTTACAGGAAATCCAATCAACAGTGACAGATCTCACTAAAGCACGGGAACATATGAAGCAGGAACGGGAGGACTTTTCTCAGGAGGCTGCTGAAATGGAACAAGCTCTTAAGGAAGCAGAAGCTCTCTTGTTATAAATGTAATAATAATTTCTCGACTTAAAGTATTTTTTAAAATAATGTATAAGTGTATATTGTGTATCTATTCTTCATCTCTTCATATTAAAACCGCTGAAACCACAATATTTGAAGATGCTAACCCCGGGGAGAAATTGGATTTTGTAACAGTTGCTCCATTTTAGAATATACAATATTTATATGTTAAAGTAAAATGTAAAAATGACCTATACCATATTTGAGAGGATTTTCTTTTCCAGTATACCCACAACTAAAGATTGTAATAATTATCTACAACTTCAGATATTTTCCATGTAAGTTGATCATCGGGTCCTGAAAATGTAGTTAAAAAACAAACAACTTGATAACTAATTTATTTTTGCATTTAAATCACATTAACCTAGTTATTATAGTCCTTGGATAAACACAAAATAGTATTGTGTATATATATTTTAAATGACTAATAATATGACATAGAAAATGCCTATTGCAGTATCATAAATCCGTACATTGTGCGGCTTATTCTTGCTTGATGGAAATTAGCTCAAAGCTAAATCTGGCACTGTTACGCTTGACACATTTAATGTTTTAAGTGTTCATTATTGTGCATTGTCCCTGCCAAATAAACGATCAAATAAAAAAATAGTCCCTTATTATGTGGACATATGCTAATTGTCAGGTGTATATTTGTCTACTGTGACATGTTTACACTGTGTATATGCACACACACCTATACCATACTACAGGAAAGGGAAAACCCATGAAAAGTACAATAGGGCCTCTTTAAGCTTACAATCTTCATCCCTCTCAAGTCCCTGTTTGTCTTTCAGGGTTTTATTATTTTTCTCTAAATTATTGCTGTAGGGGTTTTCAAAGATGTCCAGGTTGCTTTTGAGCATGCTGCCGCTGGAGTTTGAACCCTGAGCGCCACTGGCTGTCTCTCCAGAGTGGCTGCTCCTGTAGTAGTAGATGAACAGGAAGAAACCTGCCAGGTGATAAACAAACAAAAAAGACAAGTTCAACATATGAAATGTATTGCATTGCTACTTTACATATTAATCTGTCTGTTTTAATTGTGTTCATAATGTTACAATTGTCTATCTTAACAAATGCTTTATCTAAATGTGAACTATAACACTATTGTATAATGTGTTTGAGGCAGCAATGTGTGTGGTTGCTCATACATTGTACTTCCTCCTGGATGAACAAATAACATTTGCTTGCTTGTTGTCAAATATTACATATATAATTTAAACCCCCATAACAAAACACTCTGCTATATAACATGTGCAACATTATTATTATAATTCGATAAATAACGTGCAATTAGATAACTGCCACTACGGTTTTTGAACTACTAAATACTGTTAATATTTACATTAATTATGTGTCTATGTTTCCTATAGTTATTGAATTGCTCTTTTTACTGCACTGTTAGTGTACAGTTAATTATTATTGTGCTGCTGCGTTTATTGTATTTTTGTATCTCTGGCACAACAGTTTCCTTCAGGATAAATAAAGTCCTATGTTATCTCCTATTTTATCTAAACCAGCATAATACTGTTAATTTAAATCTAAAACGAATGTTTAAATTAGGACTCAAGTTGTTTTAAATACAACAGAGCAATACATTAATTAATTATCCTAAATTCGTTATTACCTTGGAAAGAATTGAGGATGGTGAAAATGTAGTAGGCGGGGATCTGGAGCACACCGTATGCAAAGAAGGCAAAAACCCAACCGATACCCAGCATGCAACACAGTCCCATGATGACCCCAATACTATGGCGATTTGTGGGGACTTGTCCGTTTTTCTTGAGACCAAAAAGCCAGACCATCATGACGATGAAGGCGGTGAAGGTGAAGATGAAGACCAACGCATAGTAGCCTATGTTGACGATGTAGTGCACGTCAATGTCCCATTATCCAGCACCTTGGAAAATAACGATATGTCAGTAAAAGAAGGGAAGCGTGGCTGCCGTTTAATATAATAATAATAAACATGATTATATATGAATAACTTGTTTACAAAGTGCTTTACATAGGCTACAATAAAACAACCTAAAAAAAGCGCATACAAGCTAACAAAGGATACAACATACAATTAAGAACACTGCATAGCAAGAACGGAAGTTATTAACGAATAAAACGATGTTTTAAATTTGTTTACATTTAGTCCTGCATGGAAACTGATCCTCTATTATAAGATGCTGGACATTAAATGTGAATTCACACACTCACATGGCCACGTTGTCTTCAGGGTTATCAGTGTAGATCACTTGTTCACCATATTTTCCTAAGATCAGCAGGACAGTCACAACTACACCTGGTAGTGCTGGAAATGGAGAAAGAAAATGACCCATCATGGTGAGGAGAAATAAAAGCAATAGTAGATTCTAACTGGTCGAAGACAAGCACAGCTCA